GTGCTTGTTATCGTTCGCCTCCGTCCACCATGCCTTCTTAATCCCCTTTCATGCATATCATGCATACACAATACCCTCTCTTTTGTTATTCATTTTTTTGTTCCTTTTATTCCTCTTTCATTAGCCAACTTTTGCTCTAGAACTTCCATTATTGAGTAGTTCGAATGATTAATGCGTTATAGACATGACACGCTTGTGTTATAAATTTCGAATAAACCATTTTTATCCGATAAAAGATTATTAATTCAATAAAGTCACCGAAATATATTGGATTAAAGTCTCGAAACGAAGCTGATTTACGCAAGGAACTACACGTGCAACAAATCAGCAGAATACACATCATAAAACAAGCATACGATTTTCGATTTCAGTTTTTCGTATAACTGTGTAATTTATACGCTCGTATGCGGCATGTAAAGAATTATAGTTCGTACGGATGCAGGGAATATTTGTATCGATTAGCTCGGCAAATGTGCCCGTGAGGGCGCAGTGCTCGAAACGCTGCTAGGCAGCGATGGCCAGTTAGCTTCTCAGTCCAAACATTTCAGCTCCTATCCACATATCTAATCACGTTTCTAGGTGTCTCGAAATCCCGAGTTTTATTATTGAACGATCGTCCTTAATTCTACGGATTGAACTTTTTTACTGCCAAAAACACAAACAAAAGTTTACTGCATATCCAAGTTTTTACTTGTTTCCTAAAACTTCTTCACCTACTTCCATTCCCTCGCTCATTAAATTTTTGCTCCTTTTGTATGTTTCTTGTTTATTGCTCTCGTACATCTGTTTCCTCTATTTTTCTTGCTGTTTACTGCCGTTCCACTTCATCCGAATCCCTCTCGGTCGCATTTCCTTTTATTTTTAAGCTAACACTTTCCACACATACCTAATTTCTTTGACCGTGTCCTCTTCGGAACTTCTTCGCGCAACTTTTGTTACCCTTCTCGTTATAAGTTATCCCCTTGCCTTCTACTTTCCACTGCGCTTCCGTGCCATTTTCTGGGTCACTTGCTCCATTCTTTCGTTCATCCAATTCTCTCCGCACGTTTCTTCCAGCTTCCTTCTTCATTCATTGAACATCTCATATTCAACTCTGTCTATATCAATTCCTCTTTCACGTCTCGTTTGCTCACGGCCTCTCCACGTTTCTCCCTTACAATTTATTCTATCTCAGGTATCTCATCCAGCCCTATCTCGACGAGCTTCCGTTTAAATCGGCGCGGCGAGCACGGTCGTATCGGGTCACCGATCGATCCGATTTCGCGTATGCATATCATTCTCGACGTATCAATCTATTCACATATCATCGAACTGCAGATTTTCAAAGACCAGACAACTTGAAAATCTTCGTCGTCCATCGATCAAATCCTTCTATAAAAAAAAACATCCTCTACGGATTATGGAGGTCAGGCGAACGATAACAATGTGCACAGCTTTATCACGAATGTCACCTCGACGAGGCACTGCGACGATCAAAATTTTTTAAACGAGTACAATATGGAGAATTTTACGAGAAATAGTTAATTGAAGTGGAATTCAATTTTCAGTGCATTTGTATTCCCATTTTACTTTCGTAGATATAGCACACTTACAGAGGCTGTAAATCGTCGTACGTGTGGTTATGCTTAGCCACGCAAACCTTGTGTCGTACGTTATTGCAGGAACGTGGGGATTCATACAAGGTGGATATCGTACAAATCCACTGCATTATACCTGCAATGAAAATCTTTCTTAGGTTGCTCCTATTTTAATATTTATGGTAACTGAATAGAAAAGATGAGAGAAATTTAATATTACAAGTTAGATAAAATTGTAGTATGGCAGACAGTTTTTATTGCGTTAACATAACATAATGTAATTGTAACTACTATGAATTAATATTAAAGGTAAACATGTCGTAATGTCTCGTCGAGATCGTCGTCATTTATCTCACAGTTCATATCATCGATGTCATTTTTTAACCGTTCATTGTATCGACCAACGGAGGAGGGAAACTCCGCCTTGATCGAATCGTAATCGATCTCATTAAGGCTTATCGATTTAGTGTGATCTAGGCTGATCGACTGTACGATAAGCGAGGAAAAGTAACGTTTCTTAAGGCCTAATGGGTATAGATAAAAAAAGGGCTACTTGTTAGCGTTGTGTAATTACACGGTATTTTCGTTGTTGATTAAACGCTTGTCAGAATTATACTCGCGAAGCGATGCTATTCCACGTAGGTTGTATACGTATAGTAATTAACTCAGTTGTAACTCAACATATGCCTTCGAGTGTGTCTCCGTTTTAACCAAAATATGACTAATTCGAGCGTTGATATTGCTCCTGTTCAATTTGAAGACCGATTAAAATCATGATCCTCTCGCGAATTTTAAAATGGAGAGGAATAATCCTCTCGAGCGAAATTCGTGTATCATATTTTGTACCTTGCTGCTGTTTACAGCGATTTCACGATAATTTTATTAACAGCGATTTAACCAACCTTATTCAAACTAATTGATGCATTTTTCCTGCCTTCTGATTGGGAACGTGATTTTCATTGCGAATGAAATTCTGTCAATTATCGATATTAAACGGAAAGGTCTGGTAATAATAATATTCCGACGTAACACGATTCCTGTCAAAATCTGGAACACGGTTTCAATTTTCCATGGATTTTCAGTCGACGTACAAAATATTAACTTCGAAATTAATTTTAATCGTTGCACCGATAACCCGAATATACATAAACGATTATCCTCTTGTAATATTAATTTTTGAAATAACAGAAATAGTAGAAAATTTTGTTCCCATTACCGGTGAGTGACTTTCCGAACAAAATTCCCAACGCTCCAACAAAAGTAAGTCTCCATAAAACGATTCCGTAATCCTCGTCGGAGGTAAAATAAGGAAAACCAGAAGACACCCTCGAAGGCTCCCACTTCGTGGCTAAACGTGAACGAACACAAGCAAACAAATGAACGAAGAGGGGATGGGGTAAAAAAAGAAGGATCGAGAGAATTCTCGTGCTCCAGTGTGTTGTCTAAGTAAGTTTCACGAGTGAAAAGGAATCCCCTTTTACGCGAGACTGTTCCGAATCTCGGACGAGCGAGAATTAGGGCGGGAACAGGTAAATAACAGGGAGGATAAGGGTCGGGCAGGACGTAATGGCGTATTAAAAAGGACGAAGCAGATACCTGCGGCTCTAACTCTAAATACACTTATACTTGTTACGCTATCCATAAGTTTATATCGTATCTCTATCGTGACAAAATTTACGAGTATTGTACGTGATATTATATTTATACGGGCTGTTACACACTGTCTCCAATCTTCCATTCCTCCGTGCGACACCGAGCGAACGAAAGAGACAGAGAGAGAGAGAGAAACAAAGAAATAGTGTGAGAGTGAGAGAGAGAGATAATAGGCGCAGGCATGTGTAAGCGCGAAGAAAAGAAAGAGAGATAGAGAAGGAGAACGGGAGGAAGAAACGGGGTGAAATTAGGTTGGATTCTTTTTTAAAATGATGGAACTTTTTGATAATCAACTGATTTTAAGCACTTTCAATGAAGAGTGATACGTTCGCTGGACGGAAGAATTGGGTATCGTGATTGGATTTAACACGATTCGATGCGATTTAAGTTGATAAGATTTCATCCGATTCGACGTAGATTAAGTTTCGCACGACTCTGTTCATTTGTTCGACACTGTTCGATATGATTCAACATTATTCACACTACTCAATATTCATCTCTTATTCTACTCAACGATTCAATTTTATACAATTCAACCTGATTCACTTCTATTTAGTACAATCCTGAAAACGATTCGACGTGATTCGATTTAATCCAATTCGAAGCGATTTAAACGAACCTCATTCGTTTCGGCGTAAATTTAATATAATTAAATTTAACGCGATTCGATTTATTCGACACGATTTAACGTGTCATTAATATACTTCCTAACACGTTGAATGCCACGAGAATCATATTTCACTCAGACTATGTTTGCTCAAGAGGTACAGTTAAATTAAAAAAAAAAGCAAAAGTATAAACTTTTGAGTGTTTGTAATATTGAGTCTATACTATAATTAAAGAAATAACACTGCAAATTCTACTATCTGTATTCTCAATAATCTATATTATAAGTGTGTCTGACCATATACGTCAATTTTCACTGTGGCAGTCAATGTGTTAACCGACAGTGACAGCGAACGTGTCAAAAGATAATAATCGTCGATAAAATCATCCTCCAAAATTCTATAATTATCAAACTCCATCCAGATACTCCGCTAAGAATCATCGTCCTACAAACTTCCCTCCAAGATGAAGTCGCGAAAATATCGGGAGGAGGTATTCAGAAAGAAAAATAAAGATCAGGCAGTTACTGTTTCATCCTCGGTACAGTTAATCGCGAACTGGTTTCGTAGGAGAAAAAGGAGTGGAACAATGGAGGAAGATAGGAAAGAAAAGTGACAGTGTTGGAAAACGATGACGAAGAGGGAAGGTTTTAATCTGAGTCAACAGCTGCGGAACGGTGGTCGGGACAGCGAGGAAAAAAGAATAAAAAGAAGAAGAAGAAGTAGGCGCCTGAAAACAACGAGAATTTCTTCCCTTTTCTATTGGTTCCCTAGAGCCAAGTTGAAGAGAAAGATGGTCGCTGCGAGCCATCGCCCTGTGTTCTTCCTCTCGAGTCCCCGATCTCTGCACTCGATTCTGTTTCATCGGAGCTTTTCTTACCCTTAAGTCGACGAAAAGAGACTGATTTGTGTACGGGACAAAGCATTGTGCGTGCCTGGCCACAGGAAACCGGAGGAAATCGCTTGATTTCCTTCACGGCGAAACATGATCGACGATCATCGATGCACAGAATCGATTTCCTCGTTTCCGTGGCCACGCGTCTCCAAAGACTGTGTACAATATTTTTTCGTACGCCTGCGTCGTATCGTTCGCGCGTTCTCCCTTTGGTTTTTTCGAACTGTTACTAGGCTTGTTTTTTAATAAACTTGTTTTTTTGTTTGTTAGAACGGCAGCGGACCTGGTGGCGAATCGGGCGGACGTGGCAACGGGTGAGTTTCTATCACTAATTCCATGTTAAAAATTAACTATGACTCGTACTCTCAGAGTCTCGAAATTAACTATGACTTGCAGTCTCGCTATATGGCACTGCATAAGGTTGGAACTCCATAAATTATACGAAGGGCTACATACTTAAATTAAAATCTTTGTAGTGATCGATTACTGAAGTTCACCTAACAGTCAATATTTTATAATTTATGAATTTGAACATTTCTAAATTTATACATTTCCACAGTTTTAAACCTCCATACTCAAAAAGTTTACAAAAATTGTAAATTTATCTTCTTTTCCAAGTAATAAAAGTTCTCTCAGATAAAAGAAGAGTACATCAAGAGAAAAGTTTTCTTGGAACATTTTCAATATCTCGCAGTCGCTCGCATCTCGAACTTCTTGAAATTATCAGACACAAGACAGAGGCTTTAATTCTCTATAATTGCCCCATGGAAAAGCATTGATTCCTCGCCCAGTGTCTCGCGGAGACGGTATCTCATTTCTCCCTCGATTCCAGAACAAAGCTGGCGAACAGAGCTTTGATCTCAACAGCAATTGACATAAAAACCAGTATCTTCGACGAGTTACAGGCCTTTTGAAGGGGGTCAACGTTGAAAGTGCCTCTTAATTCTTACGAGTTAGATCCAACCCCGTCGCGCATTTACCCTAATCGATAACCTTGTTCGTTCCAATGGTATCTTCTCGATTTCACCCGTCCGTCAAACCGTATCGTCTGACATTGGGATCTCTGAAATTTCAGAGCACTTTGCTATTCAAAAATTTTATCACTTTGAAATTTACAAATTTTTCAATTTTTGTAGACAGTGGAACTTTAAGAAAGGTTTCTAATTTTTATTTTATTAGACCGTACAATTTTGAATTTCTGAAACTGTGTGGTTTTGATGAATCGAGACGTAAAGCTCTCGTAATTTCTTCATTGAAAATAAGTCCTCATAAAGCTTCGAAAAGCCCTCTTAAAGTATGTAAGAAGACTGTCGCTGCGAATAATAATATATCCGTTAGTTCCGATAAAAAGCGAGGAATTTAAAAGGGCAGATGATAATAGGATGAGGTATCTCGAAGTGATGGATTACGTTACACCATACTTAACGAAGCTGTCCTTGTCAGACGTTAATTCGCAGATCTACGGAGCAGCTTAGAGTAATTAAACGTGAACCCGGTTGAAATTAGGTCATCGTTCCTGAACGATGCTATCGAAACTCGAGTTTTCGTGGTTTTTCGCCCGCCGTTTATTACATTAATTAATTTATTTCCCCGTGTACCGAAACAATAAAACGTCAACGATAACGTCCCTTTCTGTCGCGTAAATTTATTCTAATCTAAAAGATGGATCAGCAGGCGCTTTTATAAGTACGTTCAAAAGAAGGATATCGGCTAAGTGCGCGGTTTAAGGTTCCTTAAAACTTCTCTCAAATCTCCGATGACGAACTTTCCAATTTAATTCGAAAGTTCGATTACTTTCAATCTAATATCGATCGAACCTCGGGCCTAACTCGAGAAAGATTTATAGAGATCAGATCCTTCCTGACATGCGATCGTGCCGCGATCGAGGTCCTCATAAATTTAACAACGAACCAATTATTAGCGACTCTAATGTCTTATCAGCTTGATTACTCGGGTTATATAACGGTTCTCTGAATATCATAAATGTCCCCGGAATTTTCACCGCCGGCAGAGTTTGCATTTTTATATTGTCCTAATTTATGGTCTCCAGAATATTAAATTTTTAAGGAGGTAACTCGAAATGTGTACACATTTATGTAACGTATTTACCGCAACCAAATATTTAATTATTCGGTTCGACAAATTAAATACACGAGAATCATAAAGTTAGCTTAAAATTACTTTAACGAGACGTCATAAGTTCCTTTGATCACCACCATGTTTCGTTAACCATTTGGCAATGTAATTTTCCTGAATCAATATGTAAAGGTCTTAACTGTATCAAAATTCGAACACACGTAATAAAATTGCTATGTAATATTCGATGGATATGTTAATGATATTTTAAATGAATTATTTTGCAGGCATCTCGGGGACAATCCGTTCTACAGCAACATCGACAGCATGCCGGACATTCGACCGCGTCGAAAGTCGGTGCCATTGGTCTCCGAGCTGGTACGTAATCAATTAATTGTTCGTTAATCTTAACGAGCAACAATGTCGCGTCCCTGCATACATAGATATGTATACGCGAATACGTATCTATGAATGTACGTTGTCTGGTCCGTTGATATTCGTGGAAATGAAGAAACGACGCTGCCATTTTCTCAGGCGTCGCTCCTTTCGTGTATTATCCTCGTCGACGTCGTCGTTATGCTGTCGTCGCTTTGGTCGTCGATTATTTCTCAACAAGCCTTCAGACTAACCTGTATAATCATCCGCTTTCTTTAAAATGGAAGAATACACCACGAGTTTAAAAATTTTTAAATATCTTACACCTCGTCCGATCGAAATATTACGAGCGAAGAAAATAATTTGGTAAATTGCAGACTGCACGATAATGTTTTATGAGAAAGTTCGCGGTTTAAGGCGTCTGCATCGATCACGTTGATTACCGGACGAGGCCGGATTAAGCGTTCTGAATATTTCAGATCAATCACGGCGCATCCCTGTTGTCCATTAAAGATTTTCAACGTGCACAGACAAATCTGATCAATTTGTTCTACTCTCGAATAAATTATACACCGCTCGATTTCTCGAGCTTTTCATTTAAGTTTCACAGACAAAATTGATCTCGTAAATGAATAACGTCCTATCGACAGTGCCAAGTTTATTCGTAGGAACTTGATTATTCATAAACGCGCTGGTAGTACAAAGATCGACGATCACGAACGACGACACCCAAAGCTTCGTGTGTCCTACGCTTTTTGTCCCGTCAAAGTGTGCTGTTCTTCCCTCTTCCTGAATATACGCTATTCCGTTTGTGTCCTCGTGGCAAACAAAAAAACGGAAGAAACTTGTGCTGTGCAAATCCTCTTTTTTATAATCTGCAATTTTTAACCTCCCCGGTGGAGCTCGTTCTCTCTGCTCCTTCTTGTTCATTAAAAATGATCCTGCTGTGCTCCGTGTACCTTTATTGAAAAAATAATACCGGATCCCCTTTGAATTGCATTCCTGTTCGAGCTCAGATGTAGCTAAACGACGACGTCGAAGGTGCGAGGCTGTTCTGTCGCGAGATCGATATCTGTTGTGCCGTTCCTGCCACCTTCGAGAGATGTTTACCAACGACGGAGAGATCTTTTATCAAACAAAGAAACTCTCTCTAGGGTGGTTCGATGATCGAACGGCCATCTTCGTGCAACCTGATTGCGTGTACTGCGTTTCGGTGTTGCGTCGTTTTTCGGTAACCCAAGATTCTTCCAGAGGGTCGTTACAGACGATTTCGAGATAAATTGCTTTCTTTCTGAAAGTCAAGTGAAACACGTTTGAACTTTTAAAAATTTTACTCGTTTCTGACGATCGGACCTTGATACAGGTTAGGGTTGGGAGTAGAATAGAGCAATTTATCGACAATTTTTGGAAATCGTCTGCTAATGGACCACAACTATTTGTACTAGTGTTTCGCAGAGTATGCTCGTTCAACGTTTCCAAATTTTCCGGACATCCAATCGCCGAACGTTGCGTTTGCAACAGACCGGAAGCATCGCGCGATTTACCGTGAAATGGCGACGCTTTTCGAGGCACTGTAAATTCGAGAACAGCGTTTACTCGAATAAAATTACTGTCATAAATTTTTATATCCACTCATTCCTTATTAAAAGAAAATTTTATTGTCATTGTAGCATAAACATGATAATGAAAAGATCTATCAAACCTAAACAAGTTTAGTGCTGCACAATCTTGAGACATCTGAAAAGTGTTAACGTGTTTCATTGTTTTCACACGCGAAAGCGTCGCCATTTTACAAGACTGCGCGAAATATGGAGTGCCGTGTAATTCTCGGAGAATAGTTACCGAGTGTCGCGAGAATTAAACTTTCGAACTGCGTTCTCCCCAATCACCGACGGTTCGAGCGAAAATTCGAACAGAAAATTTGAAATTCGAATGGCTGTTGCTTCCGGCGAGCTCGTTCGCAGTTCGACGCCGGTGTACTTTATCGAGGTCAGAAATTGCGTTGTTTTCTTTCCGACGCAAGGAGAATATTGAACTCATCGCGCAAAAGTGAAATATTCAAAATCGGAAATAAACTTGTTGCGAGATCGAAAGTCGAAATTTTTTTGATACAATACCGCAAGTGGAGCAACGGTCCGCTTTTTTCGGGAATAAAATCAGCTTTCTCTCGCAGAACGTTTCCACGGCAACTTATTAAAGGATTACTCTTCTGTACGTTTTCAATCGGCAGCAATATACAGGAGTCTACCGCAAACACGGATTTTACTTATCCGAAACAAAGCCACGTGAAATTGATGTTCGGTTGATGCGAACTTTTTCAATCGGTTCTTTATTACAACGTTTCATCTGCGACTCGTTTTTATTCCGCGTTCAGAGAGAGCTTCCACAACGGTTGGCTGAAAGAATCATAAATTTTATTTACAAATGAAGAAACGAATATTGGAGTCCGCATTTTCAAAGCGACTTGCCTTACATTGTAATATTGCATAAATAAATCTGTGACCTCGTTTACTTGTTATAACTTGACCAACAAAAATTTGCAATTAAAGCAACAGTTCTCCGTTCTTTTCACGGTGAAACGCGCTAAAAGGAAAACGTTCCACGCACGGAAATAGAAAAATTGCGAATAGGATTTTGTCGCAGTGGCCTGGAAAGCGTCTTAATTGCGACGAAAGTTTTCGGTAAGAGCCTCCGACAAATTCTGGTTCCGACATCGCATGTGACATCGATTACGTGTGTACTCGAGACGATGTCGTGTTACGAGTAGTTGCCGTTTACGTCACTCGCCTTTGCGTGCACACGCGACAATTTAAACGAGACCCTCGGCAACAGCTTGATCGTGTTGCGCAAATTACAGAATTTTGGTTATAGCACTGTTCGCAATCTCGCCGAAAAATGAACGGAGAACATTGTCACATATTTATGGAACTGGAAATTGGCTGAAATACAAAGCGGTGAACGGGGGCAATTTACTTGTAAATGAAATCATGCAATATTACCTTTCGCGTAATAAAGTGGACTTCGCTTATGAGATCGAAAGCTGGTGATAAATAATACTATTCATGAAAGAAAGTGTATAAATAACTTTTTAAAACAGGGAACATATAAATAATTTTTCAAAAGAGGAAATGTATAAATAATTTTTTAAAACAGAGAACATATAAATAATTTTCCAAAAAAGAAATGTATAAATAATTTTTTAAAACAGGCAATATATAAATAATTTTTCAAAAGAGAAAATGTATTAATAATTTTTTAAAATAGAGAACATATAAATAATTTTTCAAAAAAGGAAATGTATAAATAATTTTTCAAAAGAGGAAATGTATAAATAATTTTTTAAAACAGAGAATATATAAATAATTGTTCAAAAAAGGTAATGTATAAATAATTTTTCAAAACAGGGAACACATAAATAATTTGTCAAAAGAGGAAATGTATAAATAATTTTTTAAAACAGAAAATTTATAAATAATTGTTCAAAAAAGGAAATGTATAAATAATTTTTCAAAACAGGGAACACATAAATAATTTGTCAAAACAAAGAACATATAAATAGTTTTCAAAAAAAGAAATGTATAAATAATTTTTTGAAACAGGCAATATATAAATAATTTTTCGAAAGAGGAAATGCATAAATAATTCAAAAATTGTAAAGCTCGAAGGATTCCAAAAGTTAGAGGCTAAAGATAACAGAGTTCTGTTGAAGGAAGTGTTTAAATGTTTAAAGAAAATAACTGTGGGAAGAAGCAACACGCAGTCGTAAATATTAAGGATGTCTGCAGAATTTTAAAGAGCTAAACACGAACTTGAAATTCGTAGAAAGTAGTTCTGACCTCGAGAAAAGTTATTTTTACAGCAGCCATTCGGTCGAGTGCAACTTCGTGCACCCAATCATGCAACTTCGTGCTTGAGATCCTTGCACTTCAAGGACAATATTGACTCGTAAAACGTTTCACTTCATGCGAAGAAAGAAGGATGAAAGCTTAGATTCTGTACTTTGTATGTACATCGAGAAGCAAGAGGGCAATGTAAACGTAGTCACCTATCGAAATCCCTCACGTTTTCACGGAACCTTGCAATCAAATTAGTTTTACTAAATTTGCTCGCTCACGTCCAAGTATACAAATAGAAGTGTCCTTTAACCGGAGATTTGTCAATCAATGCTGTTTGCGAAGCCTTAAATCAATGCTGTTGAGATTCTGCTGTTCAGAATCGAGGGTTAAAATTAACCCTTGTTGACGGTGCTTTTTAATGCTAATTAAACGACGGTGGTATTTCAAATTATGGGACTATTAAAATATATGTAGAATAAATTAAAACGAGCAAAATTCGCATTGAGATATCTCTGACTGAATATTGAATAATTACGATATCTCTGCGATGGAACATTTCGAATTTCAAACGCTAATTTTCATTTATAAAAATATTTTCTATCTGTGACATACCATGATTCGCACATCATGCTTTTAAATTTTTAAAACAAGTTCGATGCGTATATTCATTTTATCATGAAAATTCAAGCATCATTCATATGCGAGCTAACAAGAATTAACGCTGAAAGAACCAGGTTGAAATTTTCGGATATTTTATGTGAAAGATTATTAACACGCTTCGAATTATTCTATGTATATTTTATTTTATTTTCCACTTCATGGTATATTCTACAAAACTTCCATTCTGCAATTCAATTCATTTTTGATCGCATAAAATATAATCGCGGCACTGAATTACAGAAATGTAATTACAGGAAAATCTCCCTCTCGTGAAACACGAATACAGACAGCAGTGATTTAAGGGCTCCAAAATGTCCCGCACAAACCATTTTACAAAATAAAGTAGAAGGAAATTCCAGTGACACGAAGATTTTCGCTCGACCCGTCGCGTATGTGTTCTGTGTGAAATCCAGCGCAATCGATACGGACAGACTACCCTGAGATTACGTACGTTTCCCTGCGACGAGTGATTCGAGGAGGATAGAATAATATCCAGGAAAAAGCGTGGGACAAAATTGGTCGTCGAGAGGACAACCTCCTCGAGTCGCTCCGTTTCCAACCCCTTAGAAGTCTCGATCCGTCTGTCTGTGACCCTGTATGTTCGATGTCGACAAGTTTTCTCTTGATTGTTGTGTACCGTAACCTTGGTCCTTGGAACCCCATCCAACAATCGCAACCCGGAAACGGGAGTCCGGACGGTCGACGGAATACCTCGAGAAATCGCTGGAGAAAGAAACTCGAGTCTCGCGTTCGCGTTGATTCTAGAAATACTTTTGAAGAGAAACTCGAAGCCGTCCAAGTGGAAGACGTAAACTCCAGTAATTTCTCGGGTTTTCGCGTTCATCGAGGAGGAATAATGTTCTTAGGAGAGAAGAGTTTGGTTGGAACTGTTTACTTTCTGTGCTTGACAAAACTTTATTCGAGAAAAGATGATTTAATCGCTTAACGATAGTGGACAGCTCGATGAACGGTCGACTTCTGGCTTTGATGGTTAACACTTTCGCTGTATACGGATTAAGATGATATTAATACTTGAATGTGAAACGGCGAAGGTGTTAAATGTACACTCGGGTGGAATGTAGACTTTTGACTGAGAATAAGTGTAGAGGAAGGAGGCTTATCCAAAGAGAACCTAGGAATCTTGATATAACCTCGAGAAAGTTGATGGACCACGAAAGAAGTAGAACTCGGAGGAAATTTAAGAAGGAACTAAAAAGAATTCATGAGCAGGAAATTGAATGGCGTTAAAAGAAAATGGAGGCTAAAAGAAATGTAGAGAAAATTCAAGAACTGAAGAAATACCAAAAGGGAACCTGAAGCGATTCTACGTACAATCCAGGGAAACCTAAGAACATCCTTAGAAGATCAGAGAGCAAACTTTGAGTCTACAGAGGATCTAAAAAGAATACAGGAAGTAGTGGAGAACCATGGTGAAGTCTAAGAATAACAAGAAGAAGAAAAAATAATGCAAAGAGAACAGAACTGAAAAAAATTTGAAACGAACGCAAGAGAAATTAAAAACCTGTCCAGATGGAACTTGGAATAAATCTGGAGTCTAGGATGAGCTTTGAACGACCTAACCTAAATATTCCTTCTTCTACGCTTGCTCGTAATTGAAGAGAGGCTATATCGCATCCGAGTGTACGAGTTATCCATAACCTATGTTGCGTTAGAGAAAAAGAAAAGAAAAAATAAAAAGATAAAGATGCAAGATACCACGTACTAACCGGCATATAATGCCATTTTCTTTGTTTGTTCTCTGTGGCGCCCGTTGTTGTATCCACCTGAACACCTGAAAAATACAAAACCACTCACTGAAAAAAACCTCTCAAAAAATCTCAAAAACTCTACCTCCAGGTCTTGAAGGTACTAAAATTAAATGCCTCCTTAACGAAGTTAAATTACGAAAAATATCATGAAAAAAAGAAAAGAAAAAAGTCGCTTGTTTTGCTGTACGTAGCGCATGCTTCAGCTTGTCGTACACATCTTTCTCGATTCAATTTCTTTCGCCCTGTTACGTTACGAGATTCTTTTTTCTTTCGCACCCGGCTCGATATATCGTTTCGTTTTTACTTTCTCTCCTCGGTTCTCGTTTCGTTATTTTAAGCAATTCGTCGACAACGCGTCGCGCGAGCAACGTTATTTCGCGATCGCGTTTCACTCGTAATCGACCAAAATTACGAAACACGTGATGGATGGCGGAGATTTCGTAATTGAAGGATTAATGTAACATAACTTGAGGTCGTTTCGCGTGTCGCGACATAATTATGCGAAAACACGTTCGTCCAGCCGTCTCGTCGCGCTCGATAACGAGGTATCGCTGTAATTAGCGGTCGCGGACACATTTCCGGGGTTCTGCAAAGAAAACGCCTTCTGATTTTATTCCGCTTTTGCGAGTTGATGTTAATCTTTCCCACTAGGAAAGCCATTAATAATTTTAACATATTCGATGCTTTAATAATTCATGTAGTAAAATATCAAGCTTAAGTATTTTTTAAATTTGAAAAAAGTCAATTAAACTATATACAAAATTTTTCCCAAAATCAACCTGCAAAAATAAAATCTAAAGGAACTCGTTCATTTCAATAGAAACGTTGCTCTCGCATTCGTGAACCTTTCCGCCATTTTCCTTTTTATATCGTGCTATTCATCTCCAGCGACCAGATTCAGAACTCTTTTGCTTGAAACTAATCGTTCAGAGACCCATGATTATTTGCAAAAAATAAAGAAGAATCTACTCGCTGGATGTTGAACGCGTTTGTTCGTGATTTCGTTGGATATTTCGACTCTTCTGAATGTACCTGCACGCGTAGTGGCTGTTTTGTCACGATGAACGCAACAGCGCATGCATAAGTAGATCAGATACCGTAGTCAGTAGGTACACGATCACATTTATATTATTATTATAATCGGACGATTAATCTCGACTTGACGAGCTGTCTTATACTCTGAGACTTTTTCTTTCTCTTTTATACTTTTTTCTTATACGAGATGCGAATTTTTCGCTACATGCGAAGGGACAGCTAAGATTAATCGCTTCTCACACGATTGTTGTAGCGGCGATGGACAGATCGATTCACCGATTTTTTAATTTTTGAAGTTTTTCGAGGTTTTAAAATTTGGAGGTACATATTTGATAGATTCGTATGTTTTCAAGATTTGATTTCCGAATTCTTGAAACCCTGTTGCTGTATTTCAAATCCTTGAGTTTATAAATCCTTGAAATTGGACATTTCTAAATCTATACATTTCTGAATCCCTACAATCCTAAATTCTACCTAGAATCCCTAGGTAGAATCTCTAGGTAGAATTTAATGAACCCTTGAATTTAAATGAACTCTAGTATCTAGATTTCCATATACTTGAAACCCCAAATTCCTAAACTTCGAAATCCCTTGAATCCCGAATTACTAAACTTCCAAATCTCTGACGTTCCAACTTCCTAAATTTCCAAATACCGTCTAAAGTCCCGAACTCATAAATTTCGAACCCTCTAAAATCCCAAATTTCTAAATTTCCAAATATCGTCTAAAGTCCCGAAGTCTTAAATTTCCAACCCTCTAAAATTCCAAATTTCTAAATTTCCAACCCTCTGAAATTCCAAATTCTTAAATTTCCAAAACCCTAAAGCCCCGAATTTCTAAATTTCCAACCCTCTAAAGCCCCGAATCCCTAAATTTCCAACCCTCTAAAATCCCAAATTCCTAAATTTCCAAAACCCTAAAGCCCCGAATTTCTAAATTTCCAACCCTCTAAAATCTCAAATTCCTAAACCCCCGAATCCCTAAAACCCCACATTTCCAACTGTCCAAAACTCTCAAATTCCAAATTCCGAAATTGCGGATTTATGTACTTCGTCATAGTGTCCACGATTAGAAATTGCCCATCGCCGCTATACTGCGAGAAAAACGAGAGAACCCGAAGAAATGGTTGATATAGGATTGTGAGGGATGTTACAATTAATTTTCGAAACACGTAAGTGATAAGAGCGTGTGAGGAAAGGTGAAAAGATAGAGGAGAGACACGGTGCCCCGTGCGTTGAACGCTTGTTACACAACAGACACTCACGAACACGCTTTCAGAGAGTAGAAAAGCTGATAGAAAGTGCGAGAACGAGCGTAGTCGAGGCGCAAAATTAGTGCTCGAAAATTAGCGTCTGTCCACGGGAACGAGACAGTAGCGCATGCATCGAGCACGGGGCCCCGTGCATATCGTATCTTAATTGAAATCTAGCCAATCACAAATCCTGCCAAGGCACCTGCCAGGCGCCATAAGCTAATTGGATTAGATTTTATCCGTTGATTCTTCATCACCTCTATCTCGCTCTACCTTTCACCGTCATCCCGACATTTGTTTCTGTTACCACCGTTATTCTTCTTTCGTTCTTCTATGCTCATTCTTTACATCCGTTCATCACATTTCATTTCGTTGTATTATTTCTTCACTTTCATTTGATTTTTGATTCTTTTAATAAGAAGACTCATCGTGTTCTATATGATGTTTTATATAGATACTTGTTCTCGATTTTATAATATAGATTCGTTTTTGAGCAGCTTATCGATTTTGTGAGTACTCTTTTAATCCTCTACACTCGTATTTTTAGATTTATTCTGAATCGTGGTATTTTTAGATACTTTACAATTAACGTATAATACAGTCTCGCTGTCTGGATTAATTTTTATATTTCAATGTTTCAATTATTCTAATTTTTTGTTTGTAAATTTTATTTTTCCATATTAAAGCTTTCTATCAGAAATTTCGTTTATCTCCTCTCCACCATTTTGTCCGTTCATACAGATGTACCCAGAGCCATATAGCGAGACTATAAAACGTAACAGGTTGTGTTTCATTAAAGTTACAATGAAAAAGATTACAAATTTCCTACAAGGATCTTTTATGTCACCTGAAATTTGCACGAGTGCATAGAGGATTAATTAGTGAGATTTGTACGTGATCTCTGCATTTAAATTTTTAAGGGATGTAGATACTTTTATTATGATATACTCGTTTCATAAACTGCATCATTAGCGAGGGAAGTGATGTTTAAAGGTCGAAAAGCTTGCTCGTTTTTTACAATAAAACGCTCAGAGCACGGCTTTAAATTAAGCCAATTGTAAATAAAACACATCTTACCGTGTAAATAACATTTGTACATAGCGGTGTAATAAATTTCTAAATATATTTGGCATAAGTATAACATCCAGAGATTCGTTTGCATTTTATAATTCAATACCTTCGTTAAACCAAACTCTGTAACATTTTGAATAACTGATAAATAATTTTTTATAAATTTTTTAGTCAAAAAATTGTCTTCCATATTTTTTAATTGGCAGTTAAAGTTATCCTGTGACGATTAAAAGTGTAAAGAATTTCCTGCGAAAATATATGCCAAATATAATTCTCGATGTCACATTTTCTATTTATTTCTTTGTTTCGATTTTCAATAATTATGCAGATAGCTGTCTTCGAGTGACATCGATTGTTAATAAAAAGCATACATTCTTATTCTTTTATCGTTGTGCAGTTTTTATGTCTCCATTTCATTCGCTTTCCATCTTATTATTTTTAAATTTCGTTCAATTTACATATTCTCGATCATCGTCATCCAACAACCATTTCTTCTTCTACTTCTTCTTTATTTCCCCCCTTTCAGTTTCTCTCTTCCTGTTCTTTATCTCTGTTCATACAATAGAGAGACTGGAAGGTATTGTTTCCGAATCAGATGAGCATTAATTTCTATCTTTTCCCAGACAATGGCGGCGACGAAGAGGAACACTCCAGGCTTACTAACATCGGCTGTGCCCAGGGCAACGTTGAACGACGAGGAACTGGTAAGAATTCGTCCTTTAAATATTATCCTTTCAGGCGTCATCGTCATCCTTCGTGTCGTCTATTTAAACGAATACCGAACTTTCTGATCGCTTTTCAGCCACGGAATTATAATCTACCGGGTCATCTTTCGCGCGAAAAATGATCGCAGACTATTTAATTGTCACAGATTTTAACAAATGTCGACAAAGATAAGTCTCGTCAAAAATATTTGAAGAGTCAAGTTCAATTACAAATAAAAATTTAATATATATTTCTAATTTTTCCTTTGATCATTGTATGTCAATTTGAGTACCAATCAATCAATTTCATTAAAAATTTATTTAATACTTTACGTTATTTTCATTACAATGATCTGTCTACCACTTCTGTTTGCAATATAAAATAAAATGAAGAATGTTGACAAGGTCATCGATCGTTTTTCACCGCAAAACGCGTCGAAGAAGCAATCATTGAAACGAGTCAGTTGTGCTCGGAGCACGATATCAAGATAATCGATTTCTTGCGGGCCGAGGAAAGTCGAGGAGTAAATTAATATTAAAAGGACGGGAGAATTTGACTATCCACGAATAAAGTTCGTTAGATTAATCTTGATAGTCGGTATTGACGAGGTCGGTCGCGAGATAGCGAATAATAACCGACTCGATAAAATGCGACCGTGTCGATTTCGAGGTGTCGGGAAATGCGGTCTAGAAGTCGATTCGAAAGCGATAGGCAAGCTTTATCGAAAAAACGTCGCGAGTTAATATCGTTCAGCTAACCGAGACGCGGTAGAAATACGTGGCATATTTCGTTTAAATGCAGGCTGCTTCTTAACTCGACGTTTTAAAAATATTTAGAAGTACATATAACTGAAATATACTAATGATATATTGATTAATTTAAAATCAAGCAGATTACAAAAAAATTTGATTCACAAATTTTTATCAGTGCTTATCAATATTTAAATTAAAATTTACATCACCGTTCACGTTTACCATAAAAACAATTTCATGAATGATTGCACAAAAATTTAAATTTAAATAACGTTATTGAATACAGTAGTTTTTTATTAAAAAGCAGACTGCATATTATCATTGAGGTTATTGAAGATACAAAGTAAATATTCCATAACTCGCATCTTAAAATGCAAAGTAATAAAGTCAACGCTGTATATTTTTAAGAGTTCATTTTCTCACGCGAAACTGCGTGCTTTTATTGCACATTCTGGAGCACATCAAAGAAGTCTAGAAAACGCGTAGTGATAAATATTAAACGGAACACCGCGAAATGATGCTTGAATTACAAGGTTTTATACCGATGTTACAGCCATCACTGCGCTCTTTCCGCTATCAGAAATGCATACCATTTATTCCCTTGAATTCGTCGTTAAAAGTATCATAAAGGAAATGTAATAAAAGCACGCGGTTCCGGTTAGAATAAAACGAAAGTAGCTGCAAAATCTTCGTAAAAGAGAGATTGAATCCCAGTATCGTTTCTTCGATCCAATGTGTTCGTATCTTCATTAACCTAACAAATGATTCAACGTTCGTTTAAACAGGACACTATTCCGGAGGAAACGATATTTGAAATACGTTCAATTTTAGCAATTTTCAGGACTTTTGTAGAACGATTTTGAATATTATAATGTTTATTATTTAATACATATTACAAATTTTGTAGGAAGGTTTTGTGTTAAGTCACTTCGTATAAAATTTACAAGTCGACTTTTGATTTTGGACAGTGAATTAGATCGGGTAGATAGTAAATTTATAATGAGTCTGTGAACACACAGGGGTGATCAAGTATTTTTTGATATCAGTAATATTTTGTATTAAAGAAAATTTTTTGACAGAGATTTAATTCAGCGTCCAAAATTACAGGAAGAAAAGTAATTTGAAAAATTGTAATGCGGAAGGCAGGTGGTTTTCGCGAACATTTTTCGCCCTTAGAAAGCAGACAGGATTTTTGTGGTAGATTTGCGTAAAACTAGGGAAAAAGACACGCGTCATTTGTAACTATAAGCCAAGATACATGCATCCTCGCGTATCCGGCGAAGGCCCTCGTATGGAGCTGGATTTTAACCTCTGATAAATTTTTTTTCTTTTCACATGAACTATGCTGCATTTTATCCTCATTTCCGCGCTATTTTCTTTCACGTAAGTGTGGCCCAACCTCTCTCTTTCTCTTTCTCTCTCTCTCTCTCTCTCTATCTCTCTCTCTCTCTCTCTCTCTCTCTCTATCTCTATCTCTTTTCCTTTCTTTCTATCTTTCTTTCAAACTTTTCTCTACCTATCTCTTTCTTTCTTTGCTTCTACTCTACTTTCTTCTATCTCTATCTTCTGTCTTTCTGTTTGATCACGTTCTGTGATTCTTGAGAGAAAGCAACGTTCGTAGCGAACATTAGACGAGTCGTTCTTCTCTAGAGGCTAGGGTGAACGTTTCATGCGTATCTGCATTTAAGTATTTGTACACACTGGTCACGAGGGTTGCCAAACGTTAGCGCACCAGCAGTCGATACGTGCGGTACGATTGCGATGTGTGTACGTATGTGGGTCACGCGTAGGATACTCGCGAATATGAGATGCTACAGTGGTCATGTAAACCGAGTGTAATTAGGCTAGAGCTAGGATATACTCCGATACTCCTGCTCGTGGTGTCGGATGTTCCTCGTGTTCCTCCGCATCCCTGATAGGATCTTTGCGAGCCATTCGACTATCAGCTGATTTGCGAGATTTCGCGAGCGACACCCACCGCAACAATGCGTGTGAACCTTTATCGGTCCCGTGTTCCCGTTCGTGTTGGAAATTCGATTGCTACTATGGACAAACCGAATTTCTAGCTGACATTCTCTTCGTGTCGCGCTTCGCCTTCAACCGTTTCAAAATTTTAAACAAAACTATCTGTATATAATTTTTTCATACAAATGCAGACAGTTTTTAAAAATTGTTCACAGAGAAAAATATGTAGATCTGGGCTGAATATGTACAATTTATCAAATAAAAGAGTAATAAGAATTTGAATGTCGAAGATATTAATGTAAAAATTAATTCTGGAAGATTTGATGTAAATTTAATTGTCGGAATTATTAAACATTGCTCGCCGTCAGAAATGACGTGTAAATCTCGAAGGAAGATTTGCAGGCAAACAGCACCTCGGCAGAATACAGCAATCTTCCATTTTCCGACATACGTGCTATTCAAATTTTCAACTCGAACAAGTTTGGAGCTCGTAGAGACTGACACGCGGGAAACAGGCAGAAAAGAAATGGCGAATGGAAGACGGGGAACATCCTGGACCGGCGACGTCACCCTTATAGTGCTTTTTAGCGGATCGATGCTTTTACACCCCCCCTTGCAGAGCGCCCCAATAGTACGACATCTAGAGAACGTGCTCCCCCTTTCCACCACCCCTTTTTATCACGAAGTTTTCGAGCTGATAGGAAAGAGGTGACCGAATCGAAGCAAGGATATTCGTTGAATCGATAAAAAACGAAAAGTGTTGTTTCCACGGGAAAAATGTCGCGATAAAGTTCCCTTTTTGTTTCGATCATCCGGCAGGATGTCCTTTCGATGCGACCATGCAAGAAAAGGATGAAAATCGAGAGAGGGGAAAAAACGGAGCAAAGAAGTAGCTGGTTAACGATCCTATCGCTTTTATGTGCTTCAAAAGATTGGACGAAATGTACACCTGAGAAATCTTTTATCCTCTCGATGCACGGAGTCTTGAAAACCGATACGCTGGCTGTGTATAGCGAACGCGAACAACCATGACGATTCGCTTTATTATTGACTCTTATCGTGTTCCTCTGTAACATAATATTTTCCAAGATATGGGATGCTTTTAGCACGTTTGCATTGTTTGGAGACTATTCTCTAAGTCCAACGAGAAAGACTTTTATAGAAGGTTTTAGATTTAACCCCTGGATGGTGGAACTCTTGCTTGTGTTAATAGAGTGTTTTAGATAATTCGTGTCTGAAGTCGAACTTTCAAAACGTTATGTTCTGAAGTTGTTACACTGTACTAATTTTACGGTAATGTAACTGCAAATTGCTGGTTACTCTTTGTACTCGGAAAAGCTTTATTTGTCGTACCTAGCGTGCCGCTGCAGCGACATTAAGAACCTTTGGACACGAATTCTCCCATTTCGGACAGTTGCATGCTATGACTTGAAATTACGTTGAGAAATTATACCGAATTTGCATCCAAACCGTGTCGGTAAATTGAATTTTTCATAAAAATAGGCAGCCAGCCTTAACGGTTACGTATCCAAAGCAGCTAAAAGGGTTATCCTGAAGGATCCTGCTTGAACCCTCGTTAGAGGAGATTCGAAAGGGCGATATAACGGAGATCCTTGCGAATATCGCACGCGACTGAACACCCCATCCGAAGATCCCCAAGTTTAATCTGTGTACACAGGATTGCGTATGTAATTAGGTCTCGCAGGCACCAACCCCGGCACGTTATGATTGCGCGCGTAATTATATACGGGAGCTAGTGTGGTACGCGTGAATGACAACGATTTCGATGCGAATGAGAGGCTTCCTGCTGGTTCATGGTCGGTTTGATATTGCATGAGACCGACCGAGAATTTCGAGAGGTGAGTTGCGAGGAACAGCAGGAACAGGAGCGACTGAAATGGCCGGAGATAACAGACGCGGTGAAAAATAGGAAGAATTCTTCCGAATTCTGCATTCCAGCCTTCTTTCCAACTGTTCTCGATCGTGTCTGTGTTCTTCATGGTGCGAATGCTGACATCTTGACTCTCTGCTCGGCTAACGGACAATAAAATGACCTCGAAATTCTTTCGCCCGAGGTATTCCAATTTTCAACCAATGGAGGAAATTGAACAGTTTGATATTTCCTTCGGTTTCGGAAAGAGATTAATCCTCTTCGTTTTTAAATTGTACCTCGTGCTTTCTAGTCCGTTTTATAACTTCTAGTGTCAGCTTTGTTCCAGCAAAATGCTAAAAATGAACACTAAAACATCTACAATTTTAATTCCTACTTTTACAGCTGTACATAATAAAAAGAGTACTAAAGAGAATTGCATATTTTTTGAGATGAATAAGAGCATTGAGTCAAGGTCGTTAAAAGGATCCACATAGAAAAACGAAAGATAAATAAAGGAAAGAATAATCAACCCTGTGCCCGTCGAATCCGCGCGAATCCTTTCGGTGTTCGAATTCTAACGACGCTCTGTGTCGCACCCCACAGAAGATGCACGTGTACAAGAAAACGCTGCAGGCGATGATCTACCCGATTTCCTCGACAACGCCGCACAAGTTCGTTACCTGGACAGCCACGTCGCCGACCTACTGCTACGAGTGCGAAGGACTTCTCTGGGGTATTGCTCGACAAGGGGTGCGGTGTACCGAGTGCGGAGTCAAGTGCCACGAAAAGTGCAAGGACCTCCTCAACGCCGACTGCTTGCAGAGTGAGTAACCATTTTACGCTATATTCTATTCTTTCAATGAAAAGTTGAATATTCAATGAATTCAATGAATAGTCAAGGAACAGTTCCAATGAATAATTTTTGTTAAAAAATTTGGAGATTTGAGGATTTTCAGAACTTAAAGATTTAAGAATTACAAAATAGGGATATAAAATTTAATCTCTCCAAACAGAAGTTTGTAAACTCAGGGACTGATCGATTATTTATTACATTGGGTTACCAAGACCGATGGTAACGAACCGTAATTGGAAATCGATAAACGTGCAAAACATTCGAAAATTCGCACTGGAAAATCGATCGCTGCGTAATGGAAGCAAGAATCTAAAGAGAGTTTTTGTTTCAATTAAGCCACTTACTGAATTGTTGATTCGAATAAAGCTGAATTGCCCGTTTAATGAAAATCAATTAGCAACAATAGATGCTGTTGAACATTTGCCGAATACGTTTCATATTGCCCGTTGTGTTAGAACAAATGGGAAGACTAAAGTATGACACGATAATGGTGATCTCGTTCATAAATTTTGGCAAATTAATTTAACCTTATGAATATGTATAATGAATATTAAATGATGATCATGAATAAAATTGCATTAACATTACTTGTCGTGGAAAATATTCTCTTAAATGTGTCTTATCTCTTTTATCCTATGGGTTTATCTTAACTATAGTTTAGTTTATTCCTCAAACGAACAATACTAATTAATAGTACTAACTGTACACGCTATTGTTTCAAAGAGATTAATTAAACTTCAACAGATAAATTTTTCATTCACGATTTAAATTATAAGAAAGCAGAAGACGTTCTTTCTTCGGTTCGTATTTCTTGTTCCTTATCAATTAATAATTAATTAGTACCCGGGATCTTTGTAACATAAAAGACAGTTTCTTATACAAGCATCCTCTCGAACAAGCAGTCCGCAGCTGCCGGTGTAATTAAATAATTAACGAAGCAATTAGATTCCCGATTCTCGCAACATCGGAGCACCGAAAACTGTTTAATTAGCTTCTTGCCATTTCGCAGAATTTTTCACGGACATATAAAACATCTTTTTAATTCTTACTCGGATGAGTTAATTATCACGCGTACTCTTCGTCCGACGCTCCAATCAAAATACGCACAGTAATTAGTTACGGGTCAATGTTTAAATTCGCCACAACCGAGGGAATTATTAATCAGACAACGTGACGTGAACGAAGATTAAATATTCGAGTTAAAATTTCGTGTAAATTATTCATATCGAGCGTGATGGAAACCTGTCAAAAACACTCGCTCGGCGACTGCGTTCACGCGTTCGATCACCGATAATCATTTTGTAAACTATTTCATTCCTCCAAACTGGCGGGCATAACTTTTTTAGCCGGTACATTTTTTATCGAAAGAACAAAGTTAGCTACTTTCTTAAAATTTACTATACAAGTATTTACACTAGAATTTTCAACTAGATATTTACAATAGAAGTTACAAGATATTTGCAATAAGAAGTTAAAGTCGATATTAAGAGAGCAGTTTGAAGGAGATTGATTCTTCGTTGTTTACCTTCATTATTCGACGCAGCATCCGATCGATAGATTCGGTCGTGGTTGCCTGGAAACGGTGACAAAATGAAACTATTGTATCGTCAAGCCCGTTTGTCAACGAACACCGAAATTTCCACCAATGAATAGGGATTTTTCCGCGCGAAACACCGCGAACTCCCCGAGGTCTCGTCCGTTTTCAAGCTTACACACCGCGGACCGTGAACGCGTCTATTTTTCAAGCGGAGAAATCGATTTTTCGCAAGCATTTGCCCGGAGTTTGTTCCGGCATCTGGCTACCAAACGTTCGGTACGTGTAATTTCCGGTCTGCTTAAGCCGTTCCCGAGGATCTCGAGCCGCGCATCAAACAGGTCTCGGCCTCGCACCGGAAAATTAAAGCTCCAGAAGTGTTCCGTTGCGTCCCGACGCGCTGCTCGCGCCAGAACTTTAAAGGACGAGTCGCGTCGTTTGAATCCGTGGTTTCTGAATTATTCGGAGCGGAATGCGCCAGAGCTACTGCTTCAATAACTTTGTGCCAAACTGTATTTATATCACTTGCCAATTTTACTGCGATACTGTACACATGATATTTACAATAATTATTTTCGCTTCAACTTTTATTTGTATTGACTGTTCAAGGGTAGCATAATGAACTTTCTATTGTATTTATTTCTCTTTTAAAAAAAAGGAGCTTGAGCGATACTCCTCCCATTTTGCCCTTGTAATGAATTTTACTTAAGAATCAAATAAATGAATCGATGTATACTATCTCTACTATATTTAACCCTTTGTGCTCGAGAGGTGACTCACAGTCACCATTATATTTAATACAATAATTTTAAATGAGCATTTTTAAACTGATTCTATAAAATGACACATGTGGTGTATTAACATAGTGAAACAAACAATAGTGGTAAAAACTATTATTATTGGTAAAGAAATAATAACCTCAAGAAAATTCATTTAACTTTTTAACTAAGTTTTAAAATTGCTGTTTGTAAACAGTCAAATTACCTTCCAGTGCAAAGGGTTAATAGATGAAGATTTTAAATTAAAATGTTTAAATTTTGCTTGGGAACGATAAGATAAAAAATTGGTCTGTACGACGAGGGTGTAAAATTTTGTATATAAATTAATTCTGTATTTGTTTGGGAAAATAAATAATTTTAATAAACTTCATTGCATTTCAAATTCACTCTAATTACAATTACAATGAGAAATTTTGAATGAAATAATTTTAGAATAACAGATTGGATTACCTTAGGATAACAGCAAGAGCTTGAATAAAATAAGGAGCAAGGGATAAAAGAGTAAAACACTCAGCCGAAGCGATAAAGCAATTGACGGGTCCCATTTTTCTTCTCGCCGTACAATTTATTTTACGTAGAAACGTTCTATCCGCCTTAGCATGGCTAAACAACGTCTGAAGGAAAATCCTGATCGGACGCCTGTTTCATTTTGCCAGGAGCGGCCGAGAAAAGCTCGAAGCACGGGGCCGAGGATAAGGCGAACAGCATCATCACGGCCATGAAAGAGCGAATGAAGCAGAGAGAGCGGGAGAAGCCGGAGATCTTCGAGCTGATCCGGTGAGTTCTTCTTAGCATATCTTTCCCTCTTTTTTTCTCTCCTTCTTTTGTCGCAGCATAGTTGACTCGGCGGAAAGCGCCGTCAATCGACGACGAGGCACGAATTTCAGGGGAGAAAAAGTCGGTCTACGATCCATCTGGCGAGGATGCCGTGCCGCCATTGCTTGTCCCCTGTCCGTTAATTTGGAACTTCGAATTCTGACCACGCGCGTTAAAGCGGAAAAACGTTTTCCCTAAAGTTCCAGTTCAACAGGAAATTCTATCGTCCGTGGAAACTGTTTGAACAAAACTCGATTCGCGACGGGTTCGAAAAGTTGTCGCGTTAGCATGCATTACTTACGCTTTGTCCAGTTATCTGAGACCGCGAATTTGCGTGCGCGAATGGCGCCACTGAAAATGTGCAGGAACAGTGAAACAGGTGAATTAGGTCGCGGCGCAATAAAGGACTCGTGCACGATTGTGATCCGGTCGTTACCGGGCCACGATTTCGTGCCGTATCCTGCGCATCGCTTCTGCATAAACGTCGCCACGACGGGAATTAAAAATGTTTCATTCTTTGCATTTTTCCGCTGGAAATAAGAGCACGCCTAATACCCTTTTGTTCATGAATGACTATGAAGGGGAAAAATTATGCCTGCCGAGGCGGCTGAATCGAGATACGTGGAACAATCGAGGCAACTTGGTGTTCCGGCCAAAGGAAGTGGAAGAAACAGGGTTATTTTGTCGCTAGACGTGCTCCTATTTAGGCTCTTGAGAAATGCAAATGCAACAATATTTTACTTGTAGATATTCCTAATTATCTTTAACTTTCCACGTTATTATCTTGGTTGCTCTTATCTACTCTATAAAGTATTAACACTGATTAAATTTGGCAAAATTGTTAGGATATCTTACATCTTGTCTCTCCATTAAATATTAAAAGTAGAACCTCTCTTTCAGTTTGACAGAAAGTCGATCTAATTTTTTAATTTTTCTTTTCTTCATTCTAATTTTAAAATTAATATATGAGAAAAATCCTGCATGGTCACAGGCGGTCCTCGATTATTCTCGCAGAGGTTAGTCTCGCGATAAATGCAACTAAAATGAACTTGCCTTGTACCTCCACGCACTAAAATCAATCGAATAGATGGATGTAGTGCGAGCGAAAGATCTAGTGACCATTTCCCCTCGGAATTGTCCAAAGGTGCAAGAGACGATGCAGATTCGCGGCGAGAGATTCGATCGACCAGAATTAAGCTTCCGGTAATAAAGTTGCAGAATTTACGACTAGGTTGGTGATCATTGATCACGTCGAACGGGTCGTAACGTTGCCGAGGGTATCGGTTCAAATACAGAGAATCATTTAACAGGGTGCAAACAGGAATTTAGGGTGTATCTTGTGAAGGATGCGATCCAAGTGGGTCGCGCTGTTGCAGAGAAATGTGCAACGAAGTGCAGAAATTAAGACTTCTATAAAAGTAGGGTATACGTGAAATTTTGCAGTGAAAAATACAGAAATATTATTTATTGATGCGTTGTAAAATATGCAAAATTATTATTTTAAAATGATAAGTTATCGATTAGAAAGCAATCTCAGGAACGGATTATAAATTAGAATTTGTTTGCAAATACTCGTGACTGATTAAAAAATACGAAATAACATACCGCGTTATTCATAAATTATTCAACGATGTATATTGAGTTATCGTTGAGAGAGCAGAGTTCCTCTGGCGTTTATAATTTCTCAGTTATCTGGTAAATTTAATTATGGACGAAATTAATACTACAACTTTTTGAATAATTTTCTTGGGAAAAAATCCTCTTTCGAATTTTCTGATACAAATTGAAATTTAACATTTTTGCGAATACGCAGAGGTATAGCTTTGAGGTAATCTACACGAAATTTCAATATTTGTAAAAGACTAAATTATAATGTAATTCTATTGCGTTCCAATAATTTCCAATAATTAATACCGCGTTCCTATAATTTCCTTCGTACTTGAATATTCACGAATCAACTTTCAAATATTTCGCATGGAAATTGCAATTTATTATTCGTACATTAAACGCATATTCGGAATTCCGCGTTGATGAATTTTGAAATTTAGGAAATTAGATATTTAGAAATTACCAGTTGGAAATAATTATGTTTCTTAATATTGCATTAATAGTATATCAACTGTGTAAAATTTTTACACAATCTGTTTTCTTTTTTACCTCAATTTTGAATCAATATTATCCTGTCCATAACGTGCTCTACACTTCACCTCGCTGAAATAATAGCTAAGATCAAAAAATAAATTCACACTCAACGTAATTCGATTCCCACATACGCGCGAAAGGAAGAGCAACCATAACGTCACGCAACTTCGAGCGCTTCGATCCTTCGTTTCACGATTAACAAGCTTTCGAACCTGCAGATTGTCCACGCGGTGTAGACAAAGCGAGAATATTTTTCCGCGAAGCGATGAAAAAATTGTAACTGCAATTTTTATGGACGTCAAAATACGTTATCCACTTTTATTTTCGAATAAAAATTGTCGCGAGTAAAAGCCGTGTCGATATTGATGTACGCGTAATATCGGTTTTAAAGAATGGCGTGAAATATGATGCAGATTGACGGATACAAAGATACGATCTCCAACAATAAATAACTTCGAGGCGTGATAAATACGTGGCAACAAATCGTAAATTACATAGTTGATTCGAACGGTGATTTCGGATTATTTTGCTGGTCAATGCTTTTGCATACGAAATGTTTCTTGTATGAATTATGTAGAGGGCGTAAGAACAAAATGGACGATGGAGGAAATACGGATTTGATATATACAAAGAAAGTAATAGCATGTGAGTAGATTTCCATGGCAGGGAAATAACTCTAACTAAAATACCTTTGTAAACATACTAAATTGCAGCTTTGGTGATATTTGAGAAAGGATTTCTGAATGCGAAGGACATTACGGTGAACTCTCGCTATATGGCCAAGGGCAAGATTATAGAAACAGTGAAACAATTCGACGTTTGAATGTTTGAAAATTTGTAAATTTTTATATTTGAAAATCCGCAAATTTACAAAGCTGAAGGTTTGATTAAAAGTTTCTGAATCCGCAAACTGCACTTGGAAGCTTGGAAATCTGACAAATTCCGGAATGTCTAAATTCGTCTGATAATTACTTGAACCGTGACATAATTATCAGGATAGCAGAGACGTGTGAGACGTTGATAGACTTCACACCTCCAGAAATTAATCAGTGACCCCACTGCCTTCCAATAGGCTATTACTAATCATCCACTGCTCATTAGTCGAGATTCCATAACACTGATCTGGATTAGTTAATACAGCTATCTGTGTTCTCAAGTGTGAAATTATTGAAGCTGTATACTATTTCACCCTGTTGATTATATTTAATCTTTGAGTTCTCATTTTGTATTTATATTCTGGTTATCAACGTTCACGTTACTAGTATGGGGCTGTCGAATAACCTTTCCAGATAAGTTTATCTTCGAATAAACTTCATTTTAACATGCTTCGACAATGTAATATCGAGCTGTCGAATAACCTTTCTAGATAAATTTATCTTCAAATTATAAACTTCATTCCAACATGCTTCCATAATGTAGTTAATCTGAATATGTATATTTATTTCATATGTAATCAATAATCGTAACCTCGTGTACCTGTAGTTCGACACAGAATGTGTGTTTTACGACAGCAGATGACTTCACATATTCTTCCAACAAATCCACATATAATTAACACTCGAGTTTTAATATTTTATACCGTTTACATTGCCTCAAAGACCATTATATTTGAACAGATTCAGAAGCACCGTTCTGAAATTATAACGGTACTCATTGTAATTGAGCTGTTTCTTCAATTAATCTTGAAAGTATCGAAGTATCCATAGTCAAGTATGATCTAAAATCTCGACAAAGACCAGCAAGTGATCGGATGTATAAGTTAATGGGTATCAAGGTTAATTAATATCGCTTCCACGTTGTAAAGAAAGGGTCGATTATTCGACCTGACAACACGAACCAATGATTGATTAAATATCGATCGATAATTGAACGTGTACCGCTTGTTTCGTTATCGGGACACTCGATAATTTTTCATCGGCTATTAATTAATGGAACGGCTGGCATATTCCTTGAAACAAATTGCTGTGGAAATAAGCGAACCGTTACGGTTTACCTGTTCCTGATATTGCATTAGCGTTTCTACTCTCCGTGTTCAGATTAGTGGAAGCAAGTGGAGGGAAAACGTAAAATGCGAGAAATACGAAGAAATTATTCGATGAAAATGTTCGGTCTTTGACAAGAATGGTAGAGGAGTTGGATCAAAGAATATTTTAATATTTCCACGATTTTCCTTCTGGTATATTTTTACTTGGAAATATTTTTGTTTTAGAGCAAGTCCAAAAATATTTCAGCTTAGAATTTTTATTTAAGAGCAAAGCGCAAATTATTTAATAAAAAATGTGCATATTATACGAACCATATTTCACCAAGAATTTCACTGTTCCTCATTTCGGCACATGTCAAAGTGTAACACGGTACAGAAATTCACCGCATAAAATGAAAGAACGGTTTACTATTTCATATAGAGCACGGTGTGATCATTGAACGAGAGAAAAAGGACAAAGCAATGGCGGTCACGAGCCAGATAAAAAGATACGAGGACGTGTGAAACGAACTGAAAACCTCGTACCTTGCACAAGGCCGGGTCTCGTCTTCTCTGATAAAAAAAATAGCAATTTATAATAATCATTCGCTGTGCGTCCCGACAAGGCTCAACAAATTGAAGATAGGGTTTTGGTACGGTGCCATCGAGCAATCAACAGCCTCGTTAGCCGACTGATCGATGAACCAACGCGTTAATTACAACAGCGTGCGTCCACAACGTGAAAAATATTCGTCAATGAAGCGAGTAGAATCGGTTTGTACTTGGAAACAACACGGTTTTTGATTTATAAAGCGACCGCCGCAAGGTATCGACATTCCGATAAACAGAGTTATTTATCAGCCGAAGAATTACGGGAAGACAAATTTTCGATCGCGTTCTTGCTGAATAAATACCGATGCACGCTTTCGAGGCTCGCGGTGGCCGAATTCATTTGTAACGATCGTTCCGGGGAAAAAAGAAGCAAACGGACGGAAATACATTAGCCCCGTTTCAATTCGCCACGAATCGGGTATTCAGAGACTCGATCGCACGAACTTTTTCGATACGGTGTTCCACCTACAGATGCGGGAATTCATATCGCTTAAAAAATTGCAAAAAGAATCTTTAACTACGGAGTCTCCATTTAATTAGTTTCTGTATTTCTACATTTTTAAATTGGTTTGTAAATTACGGGACTCTTAAATTGGAAAATTTTTTAATCTGAAAGCGTATCATGCTTACTGATTTTTAATTCGGAGAGCCTTGTCGGGAAGTCAGAGCGTTGCGTGTAATCGTGTAATCGTATAAATCGGAAGTTGACTGCTTTGAAGATTAATTTGGAGATCATTTCAGATAATTCAAAGATAAAAATTTCATGCATTTAACAAAGTTATGATGTGTAACGTAAAATGGTTTCCACTGAAATAAGCTATAGATCGATATAGAAATTCGTGTTCAAATATGAAACTATTAGTACAGTTAAGATCAAGGTCCGCAAAGTATGAATAAATCTGATACAACAGATTGCATGATTTATTCTGTAGACTTTGATAAATGCACGAGCATCCAGCTACAAAGCTGCCCTTTCTCAAAAACGTTAACCACCAAAACTGTATGAAAAGAATTACCCTGCGGCTATCTCCGAGATCTTGTTTCCCTCGTCTGAAAGGCTTCAAAGCAGTCGAAAATAGAGGAAATAAAGCGCGAAGATGTAAGAAGATTCGTTTAAAGTAACAGAAAGTCTCTGTTGCGCTTGACAGAGAGTCGCGGTAGAGGTCATTAGCGACCCCTAACGAGATTCCCGTGTGCTTCGCGTTGCAATTACGACAAAACGAGCACGCGTTACACGTTTTACCCGCGACGCTCGAAACGGGGTGTCAGGGAGCGAACAAAGGGCAAAGAAAAGGCAAAAAAGAAAAGAAAAGAAAAGCGCGGTCTTAAACGGGCGAAATAAAGGGACAGGTAGGACGAGATCTAGGCCGTTGGCACAGCTCATGTGAAAGAAAGTCTCGTCGGAGTTTAGGTCAGTGTTCGGGGTCGACGAGGAGGCACATACGGGTCACATGACGGCGGTGAAGCAGTCGGTTCTGGACGGTACTAGCAAGTGGTCCGCGAAGATCGCCATTACAGGTTTGTGGCCAGCTCCTTGCGAACGCCGGCCATGGGTCGGTTATGCACCCCCTCCGTGCAACGAAGCGATCAAACGTGCAGCGCTCCATACATAACCTCTTTCTTACTTATATATAGACGATACATATGTGTACCACCTTATGTGCCTCAATGTTCTTCTTCTTCTTCTTCTTCTTCTAATACTTTTTCTTAGTCTTATTATTATTACTGTCTTTTGTTTCTATCAACTCATACACCATCCCTCTTTTCGTTTCTCTCATCAACCCTTCTTTATTACATGTTGCACATTCATACGCGTTATACTTGACTAACTTACGTGTCTCATTGTCTTTCTTGTTACTCTGTTACGTTCGTTCGCATAATTGTACCATGTTTACTGTGATCGTTCTTGTTTCATCGTCGGGTCTTACGCTCTGCCGGCTGCTGCTGTATTTTACTGTCACACTGGTATCTCTGCAGGTATATGGGGTGTCAACGAACTTTGTTCGTGTGGCTGGCAAGTTGTCCTCGACGAAAACTGTCGTGTACACTGCTTGTTTCGTTATTTTGCTACATTTTGGTAGTTGAATAAACAGTGTTTATTAAATCTTCCATTTGCACTTGTTTCAAGTATGCAATTTTACATTTTGTATTGCTACAAACGTAAAGATACATATGCTCGTTAATTCAAAAGTAATACAGAATTTTCAAAGATCACTAAACATAGCACTTTTCAGTGTACTTTTTCGAGGAGTTGCATTGAATCAAAAGTTTTTAGAAAGTTAGCCATAAAAAGTTCGAATTACAAAGTTCCAGCCACCATATTACAGATATACACTGTAGTCGATATTGACAAGAAAATCGATTGTTAATAACGTACATGATACTTTTAGTTCAGGACCTGCTGATCACATGGATAAAATATCTCACCGGACACCCTGTATATACACTATATATGTATATTTTATTTTGTGATAGCGATTTGACTGTGCCGTTTGTCAGAATGCACCCGTTCATCGCATATTATACAAGGTGGACAAAGTAAAATATTACCTACTATTTTCTCCAAAACCACGACAAATGTTCTCATGTTTTATCTCTAATAAAATGGAGACATGGTTAGCAAAATATTCCAAGAAGTCTTTTTATTCTCAACAGAATAGAATGAACTTGACATGCAAAATGTTAAGTTTCTCCTAATTTTATGTTTGTTATAATAATTTATTGTAAAGAGAATAATAGAAGAATTAATATTTGCTCTGGTTTCGTTGAAAATATTTCGTGATACTTTGATTTACGTTGTATATGTGTGAGTGCGTGTATGATGCATAAAGCTGCGCAAATTAGAAGTATCCTGAAAGGATATCAGGATCAGTGAACAATTTTCTCTCTTCCGTCGAACGAGCTTCTTTTACGGCATTTTCTTTTCATTACATCATTTTTCTTTACTCTACCTATTAGCAACGCTTTTTTCGTTCTGTCTCTTCGTCTTGATTTTGCGACTCTTTCGTTTTCCCTCGGAAAACGAACGAGAACGAGAGAGAAAATTGTTCCATCAGAAACGTTACACTTGCGTGTTGGCTATCGTGCATAAGTAGATCGTACATCAGTACAGGATCAATCGATCCTGATTTACACGTAGAGTTTTTCGAAAAAGGTGACAAAATGTGTAGAGATAAAGACAACGAACGATGCACTGTGTGTTAAGAATAGATTAGTCAAAATGCTGTTTCACGTGAATTAAAAGAGTATCGTTTCGCAGAAGTAGATTGATAGTCGTAGAAGAGTCGCACGCTGTTCGATGAACAAATTGAAATCCTTGGACACTAAACAACGAGTCTGCACACGTGCTATAAAATTCACTTCGATCGAATCGAAACAATACAAGTTAGATTATAGACACATTCGAACGATATACTCTGTGCACTTGTTGGAAGAAATAGCACACTCGACATGATCTCTTAGACAGGGGTAAATAATTTTTTATGAATGTAACATATATTTTTGGATATGATACAGATGTTAAAAATATTTTGATCTCGTTGTAGATGAGTCTTAACAATATACACATTTTTACATCTATTTTTATATATACATTTTTATGTATTTAAGATTTTGAATCCACAGTTGAGGATCTAATGAGAAATTTATAAAAATATAAGGAACATCAGTAAAATTTACAGATTCTCATATACAGTAAACTTTAGTCATACTTCTATCTTTGTATTAATAAAATATTGAGCACATTGCATATCGATATGTGTAGACTACACACGATACGAATAAAAATTTGTTCAACCAAATACCAGTTCAAACAGAGTTTTATTGTGATAGCTTCAATATTAGTAAAGTATATTTTTAGAGATAAAGCAGTATAATTAAGCGTTGTTTGAAATACTCGAGTCTATTTTCTTTCGTGCAAGTGTACACACAGCAGCCATAAACTTTACAGAGCAACATGTTCTACACACAAATATGTCGTACGTGCTATGTGACGAACGGGTGCATATTTTTCACATCATTCCCTTCGAAACACACGTACCACCATAAATCCCGTGAATTACTCTCCCAGTTCCATCGCGTACAGTGGTGCCGTTGTCGCGCACGTGTCGCACTCCATAATTTACATTCGTCTCTCGATACAACGATATCACGCGGTTCGACCATCAGGAAATCGCATTAATTTCCAGGCGTTCACCCGATCAGAGTCCTCGACCCCTCCTTTTTTATCTTTCGATTCCTCCCATGGTAATTTCACGCCAGTTGCTCCCATTCTGCACTCGAAACATTTTCAACGACAAGGGATCGATGAAATCGAGTTCACGAAGTTGTCTGTCGTTCCGTGAACTGCAATATAACAGTCGTTCTGCGGGGAAATACGATTCCGTGAAAGCTAGTAGCTTTCGAACTGTTTTATTCGACGTTTCGAGGAATGATTCCGATTCTTTAAAGTCGATGTTCTGTCTTCGTTAAATCCTCCGGTGAAATAGGCGATAGAAGAAAGTGGATGAATAAGGGCCTCCAGCTTTTAAATAAAATCTCTCGAGAAACTAACATGAACCTCCGGAAAATATAGAATCAGTTAAACCCTTACATAATTCTATAACAGAAGTTATAAACAAGCAACCGTATAAAACTCGATATAACTTCCAGCATAGGTTTATTTTTAAAAACTTGCCCTTTCTCACCCACGCTCACTGCTGAACTAAAAGTTCAGGTAGGCTCTGAATTTTGTATGAATCGAAAGGGAAAGTGGTAATCTCTGCGGACGCGTTTGAATAATTGAGACTTTTACATGCCCTAGCTACCGGTGTTGTCGCACGAAAATATATACACCGTGTTTCATAAGCTAACGAGAGAATGGTAATTAACAACGCGTCTGTACCCACCTCATTATTCAACCAAGTTCGCGAAACTTTTATCATGGTAATATCGTGCCACTTTCGTGGACGAAGCATCGTGACAAGAGGTATTAGAAGAAACATCATTATTCATCGTACGATAAGGTGATTCGGATTTCGAAAGTTTAGATCTTACAGTTACCTCTGGATCGTTGTAATTACGGGGCTCGTGGTAAAGAGAATCGTTAGTTTCCCTGAAACTTGCGTGAATCCTTAGTAACTGTGTGTAGGTACTTTGCTAGAGTAACTGAATCAGTAATGTTGTCAGCCAGTCGTTTTATCATCTTCATCGCTCGCTCGCCTTTCATGTATCAACCCTAGAATGCTAGAGGTGGAACTTCGATCGCTGTTCATTGTAAACAATCATTCTCATCGATTTCGCAATTATATCATCAGAAATTTATTACGAATCAAAGATACGGTTGCACTCTTCAATATTTACGTGGCGAGCATTGTTCGTCCCATTTAACTATCTTCAATGTTTCAACAACTATGATGGACGTTTTGTAATAATTTAACGTGCCTTATTATATATGTCCATTTTTAGTGCAATTCTAAAAACGTACATAGTTAGATGAACGTAAATTTTTGTAACAATTGCAATCAGCATTTCAATGTACCTTATTGCATACGTCCATTTTTATTGTAACTCTAAAAACGTATACAGTCAGATGGACATAAAGTTTAGTAACAATTACAATTAGCACTTTAATGTGCCTTATTACATACGTCCATTTTTATTGTAACTCTCAAAACGTCTCTAATCAGGTGGACATAAAGTTCAGTAACAATTGCAATCAGCATATCAATGTGCCTTATTACATACGTCCATTTTTATGGTAACTCTCAAAACGTGTCTAATCAGATGGACATAAAGTTTAGTAACAATTGCAATTAGCATATCAATGTGCCTTATTACATACGTCCATCTTTATTGTACCTCTAAGAACTTATCTACTCAAAAATCATTTACTCAAACAAACAACCCATCAAAAACACCATTCACATTTCCAATGATTTCATCTACTGAGATCATCAAAATGATCAACAAAAACACCAAATGAGTCTATATATGGATTCTCTACTGGAAGAAGCAGTTAGGTGTTCATAGGCAGATGGTTAAGCCAGAGTCCAGTAACCTGAATGCATTTCGAGAAGCCCAAGAGAGATCATCGATCAGAGAGCATTTTGTACTCAAAGTCAGCTTCTTGGTCGTACACGGAGGTGCATGTACCGCGTGTCATGTGGTTGTCCGTCGCGAGAGACGCCACTCCCAATGTGCCAGGAAATTCAATCGAAAGTCTATTAAGGTCACACGGCAACTTGTTGTGGCCCAGTTGAACACCAGTGCCATTGTCAAAGCTAAGCCACCTCTATCGGACGTGAGCCATCGCCTGACCAGTATCCTGGATGCTGCGACATCGTTTATCGTAAACGATCCACCAACCACCGGCCAATCAGTATCTACGAATTTGGCATGAGATCGCAATTTCCTAAAGTGGTTTCGTTTGATGGTGACATTCTTGCGAGTAAAGACTTCCTGTAGCAATTTCGATCTGATCTTTGACGACAGAATTTTTTCGAGGTATTAACTCTTGAGTACGGGTCTAGTTGGCCTAT